TGTGTGTGTGTGTGTGTGTGTGTGTGTGTGTGGTGGTGTGTGTGTGTGTGTAGTGTGTGTTGTTTGTGTGGTGTGTGTGTGGGGCCCGTGTGTGGTGTGTGTGTGTGTGTGTGTGTGTGTGTGTTTTCACTTTTTGTGGTTCCCGAGGTAGATACTAGCTCCTGGCCCGCCCCTTCATGATCGTTAGGTCCCTCTGCCCTGCCCATGAGCTTTATCAGTTGTCTAAAAACTTGTTTTAGTTTTGCTTCCATACCTCATTTTCCGGGACTTTTCCCATTTCCTGAAAACTCTGTGCCCAAAAAATACTTCCTAACATCCTTTTGACTATCTTAGTTTTTAAATTTCCCAAATTTTTAAAACCCTTGTTTCGGGGTTTCTGGAACACCTGTCTCTGTTCACCTTTCCTCCCCTCGAAATTTTTTTGTATGCGTTATTAGTCCCCCCTAATCTCCGTCTCCAAGCGTCAGGCTTTTTCTCTTAACCTTTCTTCATGGATTTTCCCCTTAATCTGGAACCCCCTTGTTGCAAACCTTTCCCTTTCTCTATTCCCTGACGTGTTGCCCAGGTGGGGTTTCAAAAATGGTGGCATCCCCAGTATGACGGTATATGGTTACAGGGTTTTGAACTATTCTTTATTTGGGGTATCAAAACGTGTTCTTGGGTTTCCCAAGGCCCCCATATGCTGCAGGTTTTTTGGTTTGTGTATGTTCGGGGGGCATGCTCGGTTTATATCACTCAAGATCTTTTTTTGAGTGAGGTTTGCGGTTTTGGGGTTTTAAAATTCGGTAGCCAGTTGCTGGCCCAGGTGTCCCCCCTGCCCAGGTCGTTTTGTAGTCTGCGGTCTCATTGTTTTAAATTTTCTCATTAATTCCAAATCTGCAAACGGGACACTTTCGAATCTATCGTTTGTGCTGGTCCCTTGCCCCAAACGTTAGCGTTGCTGGGCGAAAGGTTTGGCCCAGTGGGGGTCGGTGGTTGCGACATTGTCCAAGGTTCGTAGGTTCGGTTCCTTGATGAGATTAGTGTATAATTTTTAAAATATATTATATATATATTTTTAAATATATTTTTTTTTATATAAAATTTTTTTATATAATTTATATATAAAAAATAATATTTATTTTTTCACCCCGGGCCCGATTCCCCCAAGGCAGGGGGCCCCGAAAAAAAAAAACTTTCCCCTTCATTCACTCCATCATGTCTTCCCAAAAGGGTGCTTTAACTACAGTTTTTAAAACTGCAACATTAACACCCCCCCCTTCAGGTGCAGGCACTTATTTCCCATCTCCAGGAAAGGGGGCCCCTGCGGTTTTCCCTAAAATCCCTTCATAAAGTTATTTGCTCAACTCCAACAGCAGTCAAGTTTTTAAAAACCCTTTTGTCTCCATTCACCCTATCAAACCCCTCACGCATGCCTGTGGAACCCAAGCCCTCGCACAAAAACCTCCTTTACCCCCCCCCTCCAACCTTCTGGGCCCGCCCCTACCCCCCCTTCTTCCCACTAAATGTTACACTTTGAAGTCATTCTGTTTCGTCCTTCTCTCTAATGTCCAAAAACACCTCAAAACCCCCTTCCCTCACCCCTCTGGACAACTTTTTGGGAAATCCCGCACTCCCCCAAATTCCAAACTACGAATTCTCTGCATTTTATTCACCCCCACATTGCCCTAGACGCATTCCACTGCCTCCACCCTTCTCTCGCTAAAACTTTATCCCCCACGCTTCCCCCCATAATAAGAGCGTTGGAAAAAACTATACTCTCATACTTCCCTCTTTGCCCCCAAGGAAAAGTTCTTTGTCTCCACGCCCCTAAGTGCACTCCTTTTTTCCCCTCTAAATTTTGATTCCCTCTTCTTCATAGCCACCCGCTGCCCGCCCACCCCCAAATTTTGAATACGTTCCCTCCCCCTTTCTCTTCCCTCCAATCTGATATTAAATTTTATCACCTTTTTTTTTGTTACCCTCAAAAACTTACTTTTCCCTGTTTCCCCTTTAATTTTTTTTTTTCCCACCCTCCCAAAATTATCACCATCTCTCAACTTCTTTTCAAAAATCCCCCAAGGCACAGTGTCTTGAAAAGAGCGCGTGAAAAACCCCCATTTGGGTGATTCTTTATCTTTAATCCCGCTCTTGCCAAGACCCCCGCATTATTTTTTAAAACCCCCTTATAAATTATTAAACAACCACGGTAAATCAACCCCTTGTCAAAGGCCTATTTTTCGGGAAAATTTTCCCCTCTTTCCAAATACTCTAACTTGAGCCTCACTATCCTGAAAATTTTATTTTTTAGTAACCTCCCTCCTACCCCATACACTTCAACATCTCCCAAATTGCCCCTATCCCCCTGTCTACGCCTTTTCCCAAACCCATAAATGCCCAAAGCTCTTTAGCCTTATCTAAATACTGTTCACTTTATTTTTCACTGTAAACACCTGGTCCACCCCCCCTCCTTTCCCAAAAGCCCCCCTTGTTCATTGTACCCTATTCTCCGTCTTACTCTTAATTTTTAATTTTAAAAACTTACCATACATTTCCCAGGTAACTCAACAGACTTATCCCCCTAAAAATTTTTGCACTTTTTTACCCCCTTGCCTTTATAAAAAAGGAACTTGCATGCTTCTCCCAAAATCCCTAGGTACCTTACCCTTTCCATACATTTTTTAAATAATTGCACCAACCATCCAAAAAACTATATCCAACGTTTTTTAATTTCTATTTTTACCCCATAACCCCGGCTCCCCTTCCCACCTTTTTTTATTTCCCCTCACGAACTTCCCCACATAAACTGACTTCCCACTTACAAAGTTATTCCTCTTCCCCTTCCGAAATACAGCTTCCCTATCTTCATAAACATTTAAAAATTTCCCCAAAATACCCTTCCTTCCCCCCAAATCCCTTAATCCCCTTTTAAATTCCCCCCCTCCTCTCCTTTTTTTAATGACAAATCCATTTGTTTTAGGTTTTTAACTTTTTAAAATCTCACTCCAAAACTTTTTTTTTTTCAAAAATTTGTTGTAAATCTCATTTGTTGAAATATTATTTATATATATAAAAATTTATATAATATTATTATATTATATATTAAAATTTTATATTTAGGGTATGGTTTGTTTGCAATTGTCTTACGTTTTTCGTGAGTCAATTATTTTAATTTGGTTTTTGGTGAAGTTTAATTTTAAAATCTTTTCAAAAAAATAAGTATTGTAATAGAATCATTTCCCCTCTTAAAAATTAAATGGAGGTAAAAAATTACCCCGGTCCATAGCCCCACAAAAACATTTCTCTGGTATAAAATTTTAAAAGTCAATCGTAGGGGTAATTTTTTGCAGGTTCTGAATAATTTTTCTTGGTGGCCTTTGTTGTTAATCAGCAGGACTGCAAATTCCCCCCCTCGTGTCCACCGAAAGGTCATGAAAGGGTGCAGTTTTCATCCTGTCGTGGATTTCTTTTTTTTTTCTTTTTTTTTTTCCCTAGGATCAAGGGTCAAGGTGGTAGCTTTTATTCCCTTCCTTCAGGTCTTACGATTAGTTTTGTAAATTTTTCACGAAAGATCGTCGGCAATTTATCTTTTATTTAGGGAAAAAGCTAGCCCCCTTGGGAAAAAGGGAGTAATCTTTAGATGAAGGAAGGGAAGGGGAGGCTTAAATTCTTTGAATCAAGAGGTTTTTTATAAATTCCCACATAAGATGGAAATTTTATAAAAAAATTGAAATTCAAATGGATTCTTTCAAAAATATGTTTTTAAACGGTTTGGGGGAATTTTTGTTCCCTTTTTATTTACAAAATTTTTTCTTGGTGTACAAAATTTATTTTTTCTGAGGGGGGGGGGGAAAAATTTGGCGATTTTTTTTATTTCTAAAACGGTCGTTTTTAACCCCGCTTATTTAGCGAAGAAAAAAACACATTGTTGTAAAAAAACGGGAAAATTTTCATATTTTTTTGAATAACTAAGTGTAAGAACACTTGTCAGTGTGAAAATAACTTGATTGGGACATAAACCCGGAGAATAATTGATCTTACTTCCCACCCCCTCTGGGGTCCGCTTAAGGGATCCAGAAGGGGGTAATATGGATCAAATTAACCTGACTTTTTTTTCCTGTGAGTAATTTTTAAGCACTTATTTTTATTTTTTTTCGATTTTGACTTGTGGAAAGGGTTTCTAATTGGCTTAAACCCTTTTGGGTAATTTTAAAACTACCTACCCCCTATTCTCCCCCAATCTCAATGTAAAAAAAAGGAATTAACTTGCTTAAGGGTATACAGTAAAAGCGAAAATTTCTGAGTATTTTTCCCCTGAAGCTGAAAACGAAGTTTTGTCGGTGATTGTTCGTTCGCAGTGTTTCATCAATTAATTCGCTCAAGGATTCTTAACTGAGTCACGGAGAACTGCATGTTCGAAACCCATAAATCAATTGGCTCACAGCACAAAGACGGGCGGGAAGGTGGAGTGGGGGGTCAAACACGCTACCTCTCCCCCAGCCACTACCAATCTCCAGGTCAACACCTGACAGTCAATATTCACCTGGGTGACAGTGCCACCTGTCCGCCGAGCACCTCAGTGCTAGTACCCGAACTAGCTGGATGACTGATACATGACCTGTTCCCTGGTCCTGGCGCCAGGCTGCTGGGTGACAGATTACATCAATAGGGGATTTGCATCCTTTACCTAATGTGAATTTTAAAAGGATTACGGGGGTGCCTTGATGCTGGTGCAGGGCTCTTGATTCAAGGAATTCGAACTATTCTTTCCTTCTAAGTATCAAATGTAACTGCTTATCATTTCCTGACACTCTATAACCCTAACAGGCATTCCACTTCCCCTTAAATATAATAATCATAATAATAATAATAATAATAATAATAATAATAATAATAATAATAATAATAATAATAATAATAATAATAATAATAATAACAATAATAATAATGAAGATAATAAACCACAAACCTATATTATATGTTCTTCTGAACAATTTACTAAGATTTATTTGTTCTTGCAGATATCGGCCGGCCGTGGAACAAGCATTCAAGTAAGTACAATAATTTAATTCCAACTTTATCTCTCTTTGTTCATCTCTGTCTTGTGTGTTTGTACTTTCTCTCTCTGTCTCTGTCTGTCTCTCTCTCTCTCTCTCTCTCTCTCTCTCTCTCTCTCTCTCTCTCTCTCTCTCTCTCTCTCTCTCTCTCTCTCTCTCTCTCTCTCTCTCTCTCTTCTCCTCTCTCTTCTCTCTCTCTCTCTCTCTCTCGTATATGTTTGTAATTTTGTTTCCCATATTTTCTGTGACACTCCTTCTCAAATGAAGCTCTCTTTTTCTCACGCTAGTTTACAATCCTTCTGTGTGTATGTACTTCTCATTCCAGTATGTATTTGTAAGGCTCTTTCTCACGTGTGTTTACACCACATGCAAACATTGGCAAGTTACCTGCAGAGAGAAAGTTACTTGCTAATTAACTTCTAATTACGTAAATATCTATCAATGCAGAATTTATAATTTTTAACTTCAGATAATTATTTTCATAACAATGTAACAGTAACAATAACAAAGTAATAATAATAATAATAATAATAATAATAATGATAATAATAGCAATAATAATAACAATAATAATAATAATAATAATAATAATAATAATAATAATAATAATAATAATAATAATAATAATAATAGTAATGATAATAATAGCAATAATAATAATAATAATAATAATAATAATAATAATAATAATAATAATAATAATAATAATAATAATAATAATAATAATAATAATAATAATAATAAGTAGCAAAAAATAAAATTCATGCTTTTTTTTAAGCAATACATTTTCCTCTATGATGAAATACTTCTGCTGCAAAAGCACTCAAAGTACCATACGGAGTTAGCGCTTACCACTTACTTCGTTAACATGGTATTCGTTATTAAGTAATATATGACCAACCTGTGATGCACCTGTGGCCAGGTTTGAGTCGCCAGGCGTCCATCCTGTTGACACCAATAGGGGGAGGCCTGTTGTTGTTGGAATCCAGCATGAGTTTATAAATGGTAGAGTTATGATGTTGACATTTTTTTTTTTTTTTTTTTTTATTCGCCGGTATTCTCCCGGCCCGGGTCTTTTCCAAGTAGTGGTGACCCGGCCTTGGCTCCCTATCTGGGGAGTGTCTCGAGACCTAAGTCTCCCATGGGAGGAGGTATAGTACCTCCTCATCTTTGGGACCAAGTGTCCCCAGGCCTAGCCACATTCCCCGTGAGGGCTCGTAGAGAGAAGCTAGGCCTCTGGTCTGCCATCTACCCCGCCTCAAAGGGGCTCGTGGGGATGGCAGTCTTATGAGCTGCAGATGGTAGCAAGCTCAGCCCTCTCTTGACCTTCAATGTTGACATTTCTATCACCTAAAACTTCAATGGAGATTATTTGGAAATGTTTGAATATGTTACATGGTTTGCTTCCCGGAAATAAATGTAGAGTGGGATTTTGTATTTACGAGAGACAACAGTTTTAAGATTTACTTAACATGGGTTCAAACCCCACCCGTTCCGTATTTTTTAGGCGTCATTCCCCCCCTACTAGCGACTGAATCAGCGAATTTCTTGAAAAGAGTCACTGGTGGCTAGTAGAGAAAGACTCCAGAATGCTATTCCTGGGTGCACTGACACTCAGATGTAATCCATCATTAAAATTCACTGTATCGGCCTTTATCTGACATTCTTTAGTAACGTAAGGATACTGAAAATATAAGTTTATTTTTTGGGGAGAAAGTTTAATTTTTTTCCTAACACGGGTCTTAGACCTGTGATAGTCAACTCGGTAGAATATTTGGTCAACTGACGGCAGCACTGAAGGTTTGAAACCGATCACTGGAGATAGTGAAAATTGATTACGTGGGATTGACAAACTGGTTTATATATAGGTAAAACCCAACTTAAACTATCCTCATCTTTCATACTTAAAACTGAACATAAGTAACCTTTTAAACTTGTTTTTTTTACAAGTATATTATATAAAATTAAAGAATGTTATTTCCGGTTTACTACTGACGGGAAAAAAAAGATTTCCAATCTTCTTTTCTCACACTAATTCTTTTCATCATGTCTACTCCTTCCTTCCCACTTACTCCACTACTCCCTCACTACCTTCACTTCTCCCTCGCCTACCTCACCTCTCTCTCACCTCTCCCTCACTTCTGGTTTGGTTAACTCTCCGTCTTGTTCTCAACAACGCTTTTATTTAACCTGTTCTCCTTAAAAGATTAAATTTGTTGATAATAACCCTATGATATCGACGTACGGAGACGTTTATATGAATTCAAAATCACACATAAGGAACAAAAAAGCACAATACAGTGACTGAAACAGTACACAAATAACCAGCACATACGAGAGAGAAGCTTACGACGACGTTTCGGTTCGATTGGGACCATTTACAAAGTCACACATGTTAGATCCTTCTGTTAAAAGTCCTCTGAAACTTTTAACTGATGTCAACAGTTCACAGTATAAATGAAATCTTGTACAGTTTTAAACACGGTCAAATGTCGTGGCTTCTTGTTGCTTATATGTCGTAGATCAAGAGTTCTTGAAAGAGGAAGTAGTTGAAAGGCTACAGGAAGAAGAAGAAGGAGGAGGAAGAGGAAGAGGAAAAGGAGGAGTGGAAGGGTCTGGACGATAGATGAGCAAAGGAATTGGTACGTGTTTGCAAGGGTGAGGTGCTGAGGGAATGTTCAATGGAGATGGGTGAAGGGGATAGAAGGGTTAGGAGACAGTGTAAGAGTAAGGGGAGAGGCCAGACTAATAAAAGGGTAGAAGGGAAGGAAAGGGAAGGCAGCGAAAGGATAGAAAAGAAACACTAACACAAAAGAAAACAAAAGAAGAGGAATAGGAAACGTGAAAGGTAGAAAATTAACATGGAAAATAGGGAGAGAGAGAGAGAGAGAGAGAGAGAGAGAGAGAGAGAGAGAGAGAGAGAGAGAGAGAGAGAGAGAGAGAGAGAGAGAGAGAGAGAGAGAGAGAGAGAGAGAGAGAGAGAGAGAGAGAGATGGCTCCAACTTCATTCTGTTCCCTACTTGTATGTCTCATAACAATAAATATGCTTTCAAATGAGCTGATGTAGGTAACAGCTCTTAGCTTGCCAAAAAAGTTTGGAATCCTTAACTTGTAAATAGCTTGTCAATAAAGCTAGGGATCCTTAATGTCACTGTAGCACCAGGCTAAAGGTACCGAGACGTGAGTATGTTGGCTACCTAGAGTTTCTGGAGGTACCTGGTGGGCATTCCGGGAATCAACGTCCCCGCAGCCCGGTCCACGACCAGGCCTCTCGGTGGATCAGGGCCTGATCAACCAGGCTGTTATTGCTGGCCGCACGTAGTTCAGCGTACGAACCACAGCCCGGCTGATCCGGCCCCCACTTGAAGTATCTTTCCAGATCTCTCATGAAGGCAGCCAGAGGCCTATTGGTAATTCCCTTATGCATGGTGGGAGGCTGTTGAACAGTCTTGGGCCCCTGGCACTTACAGTGTCAAGTGCTTCCAAGCGTTCCCAGTAGTTGAGGTGTTTGATAGAACTTGTATGTGCAGTGAAGGTTCTCTGTAGATATTCTAGATCTGCAATTTCACCTGCTTTAAACGGAGATGTTAATGTACAGCAATGTTCTAGCCTAGAGAGAACAAGAGATTTGAAAAGGATCATCATTGGCTTGGCATCTCTTGTTCTGAACGTTCTCATTATCCATCCTATTATTTTCTTTGCAGTTGTGATCCTTGAAAGTGAGATCCTCAGACATTGCCTCTCCCAGGTCCCTCACATTATTTATGCGCTCTATTGTCTAATCAAAATTTGTAGTATACTCAGCTCTAGTTATTATCTCCTCCATTTGGTTACGGTATCAGTTTTGACTATGAGTTGGTGTCAGCTGTTAGGATGAGACATAAAAAATGTATATAATTTCGCATATTGCCACGGATATAAATTGTATATAATATATATATATATATATATATATATATATATATATATATATATATATATATATATATATATATATATATATATATTCAAGGGAAGACCCTTGAATAAAAATAATCTTTTCTACCCACGGACAGAATTTAATCTCAGTTTCATCTTTTCTCTCTCTCTCTCTCTCTCTCTCTCTCTCTCTCTCTCTCTCTCTCTCTCTCTCTCTCTCTCTCTCTCTCTTACTGGTTTCTTTTCTTTATTTTAATAGCATGTTTCTTGCGATAACCATAAGTTGGATCGAGCCTTACCCAATACTTTCGTTGAATAGAACACACAAGCCTAATTTGCTTCTTAGAATAATGATAATAATAATAACAATAATAATATAATAATAATAATAATAATAATAATAATAATAATAATAATAATAATAATAATAATAATAATAATAATAATAATAATAACAACAATAATAATAATAATAATAATAATAATAATAATAATAATAATAATAATAATAATAATAATAATAATAATAATCGACAAAGGACAGATGTTCTTCATTTCAAAGTCACTATTCAGTCCAGTTAATAATAAATTGATCAGTGAATACAAGAGAGAGAGAGAGAGAGAGAGAGAGAGAGAGAGAGAGAGAGAGAGAGAGAGAGAGAGAGAGAGAGAAAGAGAGAAAACAAACGAAAGCGAAAACTCCTGTTTTCAAACACCTACCATTAGCATCAGGCTACGGAGTGAGATGACTCGTTCTTCCATGCAGCATCCAGTCTCCTTGCAGTGCACAGCAGCTGCGCTCTATTCACTCTAAATACCACTAAACCCCTCCAAGTAGGCCGCAGGGAGATAATTTTCCTCATTTGCATATACATTTACATACTCAGCTCATAACAATACTAATATTCATTGGAGAAAACGAGCAAGAACCATCAGAAAAACGATTATTTTGACTCGCCAAGTTTTCTACAGATTTAGGCCCCAGGCTGGCCAGATAACTGGGTTACACTCGAAAAACGAGGCAGTTGGCGCGTCGGCATCGCGGTTCCTAAGAACATAAAAGCATAAGAAATGAG